GCGCCCTCAGACCACGCTCTCCCAACCAGAACACAAAATATCTCCACAAAGTATCACGAGCTGAAGAAACTTCAGGTTAAAATAGCTTCAAGGGAGCCTTGCTGTGGGATTGAACAGATAAGAGGTGACTTTAGGGCCGTGGAGGTGTGGCACCCACTCCCAGCTTTGTTTCTGGCCCAGTGTTAGTGTAAAGCAAATCCCTTTGCTAATCCCTGTTGAGACCTCTGTTTTTCTAGCAGTGACATAATGATAATTGTTGGCTTTTTATGGTGTATATTAATATTCATACACTGGGGTACATTTACTATGTGTCATTTTATTAGTACTGATTGGTATTTTTAGTCCGTATTGCTGCATTTGAAAAAGGACAGAAAATGGGTTTTCTGTTGTTTATGAATCATGATTCACGTGATTAAATGGCGTTACAGAGACCTGTAATGGCTGTTCTCTTGCTATCTAATTTACAGTGAGAAATGAAGCCTGATTTGCCTAATATTTTCTTGATCTTATGTTTATTTAGTTAAACAGGATTCTGATGTAAGACCTATCTTTAGCGGTCTCTTAGGAAATGAAAATCATCCTGTGTTCACACTGACAAGAAGTTCTAGATAGCCTTCCAGTGTTAGGAGAAAGGTCATATGACTTCTTTCTGCAAATATGTAACTGCTACTAATCTTAAGAAGAAACTCAGCCTTTCTTTGACATAACCCACAGTAAGTTTGGTACAGCCACTTCCAGGGGAGGAATGTGACTGTAGGCAGCAGGGGCAAGCAAAGACATAAATAGTTCTCAGAAGAGTTGTGATTAACCAATGTATATGCTGTGTTTGAAAGACAAAAATAATTAACAATTCAAATGGAATCACTGCTAACAGAGCAGCCCTTTTCCTTAGAGGTTGGTGCCTTGTGAAGGCTAACCTAGAACAGAAACTAGAGAGAGTTAAAGAATAAAGTAGGTGTTTGTTAGAAGGCCTCAGTGGATACACCTTGGGCAGTACAAGAGCCCAGCCAGAGCTACACCCAAGATGAGCCAAAATGGTCACAAAATAGATGATTGGTCAAGAGGTCTCTCACTTTTACAAGTTCTGCTCCATTTGCATATTGGAGTTAATTGTCCAGTTATAGCTTTAGGTTATGAAGTCCCATCCTGCTTGGTTATCTCTCTTCAGTCCATGCTTATGCATGTTTATGCTCCTGGGCCTGAAATTTGGATCATTTGTCCTTGGTCTCCAGCTAGAGAAGGAATTGTTTTGTCTACCTGTCCGTGAAGAGAGCTCACCATCCCCTAATATGAAGCTCAGACCCACACACTAAAGCAGTACAGAATCTGAAAAATATAAAAGCTAGAACCTGAGACATCAAGGTGGCCTCCAGAGTAAAAATCTGCTGGATAGTCACAGCCTCTGTGCAACAGGTTCATGGAAAGGAGCCCCAGTCCAGCCTGCAGAGAGACGCATAAAGCTGAGTACACATGTGGAGTGTTAAGCTGGACCGAAGTAAAGCTCTTGAAACCTGCTACCTGCTCAAGAATTTTCTGGTTTATACCAGTCTCTCTTTGTTATCTTGCTTATACTTCTTTCCAGGGTAGGAAAATAATGGAAAAAATCTGCAACTCTGGTTTGAGGGTTCCACAGTCATCCAAGCATATGGAGACACTTTGTGTGTCTGGGAGTGAAGCAGATGCTCATTTCTGAGTAGGTTTTGGAGATATTATTGCAATGCAAAAAACAGTTGCCAACAATTCTTTCATGGATCAGCATTTGCCATTATGGGAGAACTGATCAGAACTTAAATACCTGCTCTGAAGAGGTGACAGAACTCAGTCCATCGTTACTGTATATGCCTTCCCTTTCCTCCTTGGCTGTTACCCATTTCTTCTGCTGCTGCCATCACAGAGTTCATTTTTCATGTCTCACCTAAGTGTGTTACATGTGCCTCAGACTTGTTTTTCATGTGGGCTCTGAAAACAGAATACATGGAAGTCTTATACTATTGATGCTTTGTATGTTTCTCTGTGTGTGTGACCTCCAGTCAGAAGCCCTACCATCCAATCATAACCTTTCTGTTATTCCCCATGCCTTTTGAAACAGCCTCTAGCTGTGACACTGTGATAAATAGAAGCAAAACAATTAAAAATGCATGATGAGTATTCTGCCATATTAGATAACATGACCACATTCATCACCCACTAATGCTGCCTGTTCACAGCTTTGCCAGTGCAGTCTCCCTCCCATGTCTGATTTGGACAATTTAAGAGGATTTTTGGCTACACTTCACCTTTCTTCCTTTTCACCTTTGTTTTTTACCTTTATTCATTTCTCTGAAAATGGTGCTCTGCACTGCAGCATGGATTGGATATAGCTCATGTTTTCCAACTTTCCTAAGCTGTAATTCACTAAGA